TTTATATGTTACTTATCAAAGTAGCAGATGGACACTGGGCCTCTACTCAAGTCCTCCCTCAATGCAAGAACACTTTGTTCTAATAACCTGGCATGCTTCTATGATGCTCACCTTCCTGACACAATTGCTGAAGTCAAAATGGGTGTATAAGCAAATGTGGTGAAGAAAGCTGATGGTGCCTGACTATTAGAAGATACAGTGTCTGATATCTTAAAGGCTTGAGGTTAAACAAGCAGCCATCTAACAGGGAGGCAACAAAGCCCACATGCAAGAAGCACACCAGCTTGTGTGATCACGAGATGTCAACAGGATCAGGTATCAGGCATCAGAAGACCCAAAACAAATAATAATATCAATGCGAATGAGGGGGATCAGAGTGGAGACCCAAAGCCCATCTGTAGAAAAGTGGACATCCCCTCACAGAAGGGTCACAAGGAAGGGATGAGCCAGGGTGCAGGATAGCACCATGAAATACACAATATTCCTTTCGTTCTGTACTTCTTCCTCCACCCCATCCCCACTGCCATGATCCCAGTTCTAACTTACAAATCAGGGCTAGACTGGAGCATGCACACTGGTACAGATAAGAGCTCTTGACACACAGAATCCAGGACAGATAAACCCCTCAGGAACAACAATGGGAGTAGGGAAACCATGAGGATAGGGGAAAGGTGGGGGGTGGGGGTGGGAAGGGGGTAACCACTCGCAAGGATCGACATAACAAACAACAGAAACACGGGTGAAAGGAGCCAGTGGACGGTGAAGGAAATGAAAATAATTTATAATTTATCAAGGAGTCACGAAGGAGGGAGGGTACAAAGAGGAGCTGATACCAAGGGCTCAAGTACAAAGAAAATGTTTTGAAAATAATGATGGCAACATATGTGCAAATGTGCTTGATACAATTGATGTATGGATTGTTATAAGAGCTGTAAGAGCCCCCAATAAAACAATCCTTTTTTAAAAAAAAAAAAAAGAGCACCCACTTATACCCAACTTCCGCTGACCAGCTGTGCTGTGCTCAGGGACTGCCTTTTGATCCAGATAGTCACAGACAGAAATCAAATGCCCCACACATTGACTCTTATCCTACCTACCCACTGCTGTCACATCCAATCCAATTCATAGTGACCCTGCGTAGGGTTTGGGTAGTTGTAAGTCTTTATGGGAGCAGTTAGCCTCCTCTTCTCCCTCAGAGGGGCTGGTGGGTTTGGACAACTGACCATGTGGGCCCACGACCTACCTGAGAGTACCACCTGACCTCTCAAAGATGTTGTTCTTGTTCGTATTAGTTACCATTGAGGCCATTTGACTTACAGAGTAGAACCACACATACAGAGTAGAACAACACTGTAGGACTTTCAAAGCAAGCCAATGGCCAGGCCTGTAGTTTGGACCACTTCCCGGAGGGTCCACCCACCTTTCAGTTAGGGATCAAGTGTGTAACCATGTGCACCCTCCCCTCGAGGACCCACTCAGATCCATAAGCTATCATTGGTTGACGTGGCGGGAAGGAAGGGTTGGGACGCTGCATGGTTTCAGCACGCATGGCCGTTCTGATCACCTCGGCACGTTGGTCCTTCGTCTCCTGGTTCTGCCTCCGCAGCTCAGGTCCTGGTTGCAGACTGGTCTCATCCCAGAGTCTCTCTTACCTCTTTCCTCTCTACCGCGGACGCCTTTTTCCCCTGCCTTCAAATATGCTCACCTGTCCCAAACACCACAGGTGTGTCCAAGCACCGGATGGTCTCAGTCCGAGTGTCCCACGCCTTCCCCGCCAGCCTCCTCCCCGTCCTCGGGCAGAGGCATTGGAAGGCTCACCAGGCTTGTTTCCTGTTTCTTGGGAATCACTGACCTTTGTGTGTGATGCCCAGTGTTGAGAAAGCCATCGATACATATAGTTTGCTCCTGGATTGTTTAATGTATCCATGTGGCTCCGTCTTGGCCAGAAGTAGCCGTTTTAGACAGCTGTGGTTCTTTCCTTTTGACCACTGCGTATTATTCCATTGTGTAGACAGTCCACACGTTCCTTAGGGGTTTCCCCTCTCCCCTCTCCCTTCATTGTCTTCTACTTCACTAAGAGTGACAGTCTAGTTTCACAAGTCACGCTTGACTTATGGAGGAAACTGTGTGCAAACTGTAAAAATATAAATTGCATCCCTAGCTGCTGTGTCGTCTGTATCAGACAATTCTGCCGCCTCTCATGCCGAGTCTTAAATCTCAGGCTTCTGGTCACTTGCAGGCACAGTTGGCCTTTATCTTGTGCTTCTGGTGGTCTTTTTGTTTGTGAATTTATAACTTATGTCTTTATCCAGGGGAATGCTGATAAACACACACATACACACGTACCAGCATGCCTTCCTCTTCGGCCACCTTCTACTTTTGCCATTAACCAAGGGAGAGGGACACCTCACCCTCAGGAGGGCTGGGGGCTGCGGTCCTAGCCTGACCCCTGCCCTCACTGCTGCTCTGAAGTGCCGTGGTCACCAGGACTCTGACACACCGGCTCTGGCCCTGGTTAAGGCAGCCCCTGCCACGCTGGCACTGAATCCCATGTCACCAGAGCCCTGTACCACACCTGGACTCTCCTACGCTGGCCTTACCTGCTGGTTTCTCGGGGCTTCCCGACGTCCCCCAGCCCCCACTGATGGCTGAAGAAATAGAACCCCCCAGAGCTCTCCCAATGGGGGACACAGAAGAGCCCTGCCCTGTCATCTGCAGTAGCTTAGCCCCTTCAGCCCATGTGTTTGTCCCAGAAGTGAACTCTGCAAGCTCTTCCAGTGGACTTAGCTGCTGCTGAACGGCTCGTGTCAGCGCAGGGCTGAACAAACAGCTGCGTAATCACAGAGGATGACATTCTGTGCCGGGGCTAAATAGCTGTCCCTGTCTAGCCATCAGTTCCCCGCTGTCAGGGTCAGGTCAGGCAGCCTACAGGGGGCCACCCTGGAGGCAGACACAGAGTCTCCATGAAGTCCCAGGAGGAAGAAGGCAAAGTGACAGAACCAGAGTCCCTCGGGCTCAAAAGGCCACATCCCCTGGAGGTGTCACGTTAGCACTTGATTGACAGGTTTAGTTCGACCCCTAGCCGGGAGTGTCAGGTTGACACAAAACCATCCAACTCTCACAGGGGACATTGCTGGGAGGGCGTGGGGTAAGACTGGTGGCCAGTTCAGGAGCTGTTTTCGACCACGAAAACCTCCTCTGGTCCCTGGGCAGCTCTGCTCTCTGACTTTTCTTTCCTAGCTTTCTTTTTTAAAGAGTCTATTGGCATAGACTTCATATATCATACAAGTCAGTCATTTAATCGTATTGAGTTGTGCCATCATCACCACAATCAATTCCAGAGCTTTCTTTTTTAAAGAGTCATATGTCATACAAGTCAGTCATTTAATCGTATTAAGAGTTGTGCCATCATCACCACAATCAATTCCAGAGCATTTTCTTCTCATATCATTGTTGTTAGCTCCCCATCCCGCCCCCCCCCATTCTCCTCTGCCGTGCCCCTGAACCAAAACCAAAGTCTTTGCCCCCCAGTCGATGCTGGCTCCTAGTGACCCGAGAGGACAAGGTAGAGCCTCCGAGACGGTATGTCTTTATGGGAGTAGAAAGGCCCAGCACGTTCCACGGCGCAGCCGATGGTTTCGAACTGCTGGTCTTATAGTTAGCAGTCTAACCTATAACCACTAGGCCACCAGCGTGGCCGTGAACCTAGATGCTTACCAATCCAGTTACTGTCTCTAGATCTACCTAGCCTGGATTTCCTGTACAGAAAGTAATCCAGAACACAAACAGGAAGCCAACACACCACAACGACGACAACAAACCAGCGATAATGACGATTCAATGCAACGTAGAAAAACTCAAATCAACAAGAAAACAGGAAATACTAAAAACTGAAACTACTTTCAAATGGGTCAAAAGGGAGCTCAAAAGATAAGGCACTGCGTATTAGCCTCACCATCTCGGCCGTCGTGGACTCCACAAAGCTCTCTGTCTGGTAGCCAAGCTATCCGCATGCCTCAACTCTAGCCAGAGGTGCTCCCTGCATGGATTTGAGGCATCCACTGTCTGACTTTGCTTGACCAATTAATACCTTGCATAAACTTGTAGCAGGTATCTGGTCCAGCCCTAGGAACTAGCCGCAGTCTGGCCCCATGCCCATCTGCTCATCCAAGAGATCTAACTGGGAGGGGAGGGGACCATCGACCTAGGGCCCCCATTCAACTCTAAGTAACTCCTTTTTCTTTCCAGCTCCGCCACTGGCTGATGGTGTAGCGCAGGCGGGGGAAGGAGACCCCTCCCGGGTGAGGTTGTCGCTAACTCCGGGTGAGAAGCAGCTGAGAAGACAACGGGGACCTTCCCAAAGAAGAGGGGTCTCTTCACTCCCCAACACTACCCATCAGGGGTGGGAGGGAGGCTTTGCTGGCAGCTCAGAGGAACACACCGCACCCCTCTCTGTGTTGGCCTTGTGTTGCTAGAATAACTTAGTGTAGACCCGCGTGCTGAGCCCGGCCCCCAGCCCCATGGGGTAGAACTCACCTCACTCCGTGTCCTCTTCATGTGAAACTGGCTCCCCACCCCCCATCCCTGACTTCCGGCCACTGTCCCTTGTGTCATGTGTGTGCTCTGAGAGGGGATGTGGCCCCTGTAGACACATTGTCCTGGAAACCCAGAGCTTACGACGGCCTCCCGGATCCATCTGGATTATACTCGTTCATATTAAAAACACCATGTATCCCGTTGTGTCCGACTGACAGCATGTGGGGTGGGAGGGCTAGTCCCCTGGCAACGCCACTTCTAAATGCCCTGTTGTTGTGAGAGGCCGCGCGGAGTCGGCTGGAACCCTTGGCGACCCCACGGACCAACCGCAGAAGGCACCGCATCTGCCGGGTCTTGCACCATCCCCGTCCTTGCTGCTATGGGTGAGACCCTGGTTGCAGCCACTGGGCCCTTCCATCCCTTTGAAGGTCTTCCAAACACCCAGTTCTGGGCAGAGAGCCCCTGGTGTCGTGGGCTGCAAACTGAGCTGTTCACTGTGAGATCAGCAATTCTAAAGCACCAGCTCACTCCATGAGACAAAGATAAGGCGTTCTGCTCCAAGACAGAAGTCGTCCCCGAAACCCACGGGGGCAGTTCTACTCCGTCCTGCAGGCTCGCTATGAGGCGGAACTGGCTCAATGGCAGTGAGAAGGTCACTCGTGGAGTCCTTTGGACCTGTTGATGGTGGCTGATGGGCAATTCCATTTGTTTTCTCAAGGGAGTAAGTCCCTGGGCAGTCAGGGCAGCTCAGTCCTGGCCCCCCAGGAAGAAGTATGCCCCACAGGCAGGTGCGTCCTCCCTGTTCCTGTGGTTGCCTGGACCACCCAGAGGCAGGCACGCCCAGAGACCCTGTCCCGCAGGGCATTGCCCAGCAGAAGGCAGGCTACCCCAGAGCTGCCCCTCTCTCTCACACACACACAGGCATATGGATCCGTTTTGACATCGGGATGCTTGGCCCAAATCCGACTTATCATCAAATCAAAACCCGATCTCAGAATGTGAGCCTGGTTTCTGCAAAGGCACCGTGTGCTCTCCCGGGGTTTCTGTGTGGCAAGGACCAGGCGAGAGAAACAGGGATGACATTATCGAGGTCCGCAGATGGACACGGCTGTGGAGCACCTTGCTGGACAGTCCGTCCTACTGAGGAGAAATTCAGGGAGTCTTGAAGGGACGTGTGGCCAAGCAGAGGCCCGTGTGCCTGGGGGTCCCTTTTCTCACCTCCATCCCAAGTGTGGACACAGTGAGGTGGCTCTCTGCTCAGCGGGACACAGACGTGTGGGAGTCCTGACCCACAGCATCCACTGTGTGCACTGCTTTCAGTGCTGCCACATACACTAGCTGTGTGCCACCGCTGCCTGCCCACATCGCCGCCGTCTGCGTTGTGGGGTCCTGTGCACACCGAGGCGGAAACGCTGTGCTGTGGAAATGACCACAGACCCATTGCCTACTTCCTGCACTGTCCCTGGACCCAGGGTCCGCTGGTGCTGTCGTACCTCCGCCTCCACCAGGACAAAGCTACAAGTCTAGAAGCCATGGTTGGTGCTGTGGAATCAGCACTGACTCACAGTGACCCATACACAGCAGAAACACTGCCCGGTCCGGTGCCATCCCTGCCCAACTCATTTCTGGGGGTGAACCCACGGTTGCAGCCACTGTGTCCATGCGTCTTGTCGAAGGCCTTCCAAGCATGATGTCCTTCTCCAGGCACTGACTGGTCCCTCCTGATGACATGTCCAAAGCATGTGAGACACAGTCTCATCATCCTCCCTTCTAAGGAACATGGTAGCATTTCCTCTTTGTTCTAAGAAGAGGCTGGGAGTTTGAGTCAGGGCCTTTCTGTCTTCTCACATCCGTGTGGGTCTGCTGCTTCTTTAAAAATCATTTTATTTGGGGCCCGCACAACTCATCACAAGCCAGCCATCCATCCATTGTGTCAAGCACATTCATACATTTGTTGCCAGCATCATTTTCAAAGCATTTTCTTTCTACTTGAGGGTCTCTGCTGCTTTATAGAAAACCCAGGAGTGATTAGGTTTAGGACCCACCCTAGACTGCTATGACCTCTTCTGATGGATTAATGGCATTCTATTAGATTATACCCTGGAAAGTAATCACATCAGATTACATAGTGCAAGGAGGAATACACCAGATTCCATCATGTTGCTGTTAGCTGCCATCTAGTCAGTTCTGACCCATAGCTACCCCTTTGCACAGCAGAAGGAAACACCAGGGTGGGGGGTGGGCCGCCAGTCCTGCGCCACCGTCACAAGTGTTCTTGTGGTTGAGCCCACTGTCGCAGTCCACTGTGTCCATCCATCTCATCCAGGGCTTTCCTCGTTTTCATTGCCCCATTCTTAACCAAACACGATGGCCCTCTCCAGGCACCGGTCTCTCCTGACAACATGTCCCAAGCATGAAAGACGAAGTCTCGCCTCTGTGGAGTATTCTGGCCGTACTTCTTCCAAGACAGACCGGTTGGTTATTTGGGCAGTCCCTGGTATTTGTTTACTTTCAATGCACCACGCTATTACATGCACGTGGAACGCGATCACATCACATAAGGTTGCGTGGGGGTGGCTACACCGCATTGCGTCAGATTACTTTAGGAAAGGTGATTAGCTCACCCAACCTCCCGTAACAGATGACTGCTTTCTGTTGCATTAGATTTGATAAGAGGTCCTTGCAGATGAGATTAAGGAAGGCCATCTGCCCTGCCACTGTCGCTTGATTCAATCGCACAGTGAACTACTCCATGGGAGCAGCTTGACTAGGATTTGGCCACACCCCTGGGAGCCCCAACCTAGCCGAGAAGACACACAAAGTTCACCACCAGACTCGCCTTCATCTGAGTTGGCTGCCCCCACCCACCCCCTGTCCACAATCACTCCTGGGCTCCATAATCGGTCCTCTTTAGCACCGAGGCCCCCCACCCCACCCCCACTGGCCCTCCATCGCAGCCTCTCCCCACCCCTAAGACTGAACACATCCTGGGGCTCTCCTTGAATGGCCTGGACCCCACCCTCCTGCAAGTTCCCCTCTCAGCCTTGATGACACCTGCCTGTGGCCACCTGTTAAGCCCCAACCCTGGAGTACCCCATGTCTGCTCCATGTGTCCTGACTACAGCTCCACCTCCTCACCCCCACCTCTGCCCTTGTTCCTGAGGGCCCCTTGGGCTGTGGACAGAATGCAAAGGTCACCTCCGTGGTTTATCCCCCGGCTGGGAAGATACTCCAAAGCAGTGGTTCTCCACCTTCCGAATGCCGAGACCCTATAATACAGTTCCTCGTGTTGTGGTGACCCCCAACCATAAGACTATTTTCATAACTGTCATTTCGCTACTGTTATGCATCCGGAGACCCCTGTGAAAGGGTCTTTCGACCCCCCCCCAAAAGGGTCATGACCCACAGGTTGAGAATTGCTGCTCCAAAGGCCTCCGGTGACTGGACTGGATAGCTGGCCATTGCACCAGTCTCAATCTTAGTCCTGCTGCCGAGTCCCCCCCCCCCACCCTGGGACTCCATGGGGCTTCCTGCCCTGACCCCCTGCATGGCTGCCCTGGTCTCATGTCTCCAGACACCCCTGTTGCCTTCTGCAGTCCCCACAGGGGACTCCTTGCTTCAGTGAGTGGGACACCACTGTCTGAGCCCACTCCCCAATGTCCCCAGGGCCTGGGCTCCTGGCAGCTCCCAGGAGCCTCTGCTGCTACCCTGGAGCACAGCAGAGAGACAGTGGGGCTTTGTCATCAGGTGTCATCATTCTGTCCCCTCACATGACAGTAGTAGAGAGAACCCCGGGGCCAGACCAGCTGAGACCTCCAGTCCTTGCCCTGGGTCCCCAGCAGAGGAAACACACAGCACCTCCTGCAAGGGAGGGCCAGAGACAGGAGAAAGATCCAACCCCACAGTGTGAGAGGCAGTGCCCACCCTCGGGAGGGTGTGAGATTCACAGACGCTATGTGCGGGCCTCAGACTCGGGCTCCCAGGGTCAAGAAGGTGGCGGCTGCCAGCTCCACTCCCTTAGGTGCCCCCAGCTCTTCAGACAGCCACGCCAGGGAGGAGCAAAAGAGCAGGGCCCACAGCTCCAGGCCCAGGCCCTGCATGGGAATCTGGGTGCAGTCAACAGCCAGGGGGCGGTTGGAGTGAACCATAAAATGGGGGAGGGTGGGGCCAGAAAGGAGCCAGGTCACAGCCACAGCCCAAGTCAGAGCCTGAACCAGAGGCGGTGCCAGAGCTGCACCTGCACCTGAACCTGAACCTAACCTGAGTCCAAGCCCAAACCAGAGCTAAAGCTGAGCCTGAGTCCGAGCCCGAACCCTATCCCAAGCATAGGGCTGAGTGGAGCATGTGCCTGAGCTGCGCTTGACTTTGGCCTGAGCCTGAGTTTAGCCCAAACCTGAGCTGAGCCCAAGCCTAAGCCTCAATTTGGCCCACGCTGGAGCATGAGCCCTTGCGGAACTCCAGTTGGACTTTAATCCCAGAAGTTTGTCCCCTTTCCCGGCCAAGAACACCTTCCCCCTGCACTCCTCAGGATGCCTGGCTCTGCCCCGATGCACAAAGCAGCCCAGCCATCCACAGATGGCCCAAGAGAATCCCAGGGTGGACACTCTTGCTGTCCAAGGGACACAGCAGGAGTGTAGGGATTCTGAAGGTGGCTGAGCAGATTGTTCTGGGTCCCCTACAACATCAGAGTGTTGCCACCACAGCCCGGCCATGCCTACTCCACCCCACCCCCCACA